AAGTGTTGAAGGGTTAAAACACTTTGTTCCGAGAATAACTAGCAATAGAACAAATGATCATTGTCTTGTTGACTCACTGCAGAACTTTGTAAGAAATGTTTGGGAGGCTGCCATTTGTTATGCAATCTTTCAGATCTGTGACCTTGTTCTGCAAAGCCTACAAGGAAATTAGACCTAGAAATGTTTGCCAGCGGAACATTACAAGGGTTAGAAACAATACCATGAACACCTGCATGATCTGGTGATGAATACTAGATAAATTGAAGGACCGGCATATACTGTATAACCATTACTTTGTAGATACATTGTTTGGGAGCTTAGGCGATTGTTGATTGTTCAAATTCCACAGACATCTGTAACATATAGAATGAAAGCTGTGTGCACAGCTTTTCTCCATTTCGGTCCCTTTGATGAATAAGGCACACAGAGTTTAAAAGGTGGAAAGGAAGATCCAAATATGAAATCTTGAGCCTGGAGGATTTGACTGGCTTGATATAACTGATGCCATGTTGCTTATCCTTTTTAAATCTTTGGAGGAAATATGAGGGATGGACTGGAAACCCTCAACATTTTACTTCCTAATCTGGTGGAGTAGAAGAGTCAAAAGGCATAACTTTGATTTATTTATATTTATTTAGTGACCGTACATCAAAAAGCCAGATTTCGAAATTGGAAGAAAAAATTACTTATGACTCATGTTTTGGATAACATGATAGTACACATCTGTGCACCACATCCTTACATTACAATGGTGCAGGTAACAAAAACAATTGCTGCAATTTCTATCAAAAGGTTAAAAAAAAAAAAAAGTTGCATCATTTATTAATTTAATGAGGGATGAATTTGTGCTTTGACATTAAATAAAGAACTGCGTTATGTTGTGTTGCTGTTATTTTGTCCAATCTCTGATTCTTCTCCTGTTCAATACAGAATGGTGTAGCATCCATGACATACATCAACATGAAAATACTGCTGGATTACTTCTAGTAACAGACATTTATTACCGTATGCATGCTCAAATGACGGATGAGTTGAGGAACGTTTCTTTACTGTTCCTGATGGTAAATTTATCACAAAGCAGTAAATATTAAATAAAGTGTGTTCTGCATCTTCTCCCCCTACTTTTATTCAGAAACGGATTTTCTCCAGAAGCAAATTGACATTTCCAGAGCAGTCTCCGTGTTTTTCCTGATTAAAAATATATTTTAAAAAACCAATGACCAGTCCAGCATACAGTGCATCAATTCAAGAAGGATTAATATTGATATGTAACATCAGGAGAAAACTGTGAATCATCCATTATTATACAGAATCAGAACCCTTAAAATTACATCTGTCTCCAAGTATTTAATCCACGGCCTTGCTAGACCAAAATGACGAAAGCAATAATTGTGCCAGGCTATCCCAAACCAGCGAATGATCCAAAAACTGATTAAATAAAAGAAGAATGAAAGACTTCCAAGCAAGACAACATAAGAAATGTAAAGAGAGTTTGAAAGCATCTGTAGGTTGGAGAAGCCATTTTCCTTTCAAAGTCAGAGCAGATGAAACCTCTGGCAAAATGTCTCCTCTGATCTTAGGAATTCTGTTATATGCATTACTGATGTACGAGTGCTGGTGTGTGAGATCCACATTTCCAGCTGAGGGTACAGCTGCAAGGCAGCACAGTGTGCACATGCCTGTGCTTCTCAAGAGAGCACGCCTCAGTCAGTGTGTGTGTGCAGGAACAGGGCGTGGCTGAGAGTGATAAAATATTTGTGCATTTGTCTTTAACCCAGAATGTAGGTGTGCATAGTAGATTAACCATACCGTGTGTGTGTGTGTGTGTGTCTCTCTCTCCCCCCTTCTATGGAATTGGCCAGGGAGGCTGCGATTCATGCGACGACACACGTACTAACACAAACACAGAGGAGATGGTGCCTTGGTCTTAATCTGCGGATGTGTGTGTCAGTGCAGCGACGTTGAAGTATTCCCATCCTTTAAATACAAGTAATAATAGTATAAGTCGTGCTCTCAAAAGTTTCCATACAGCTACTCAAGTTAACTTGAGGTGGAGACATATCCAAAGAATATCATCAGACTGTGCAGTCTTTGGTGCATTTTAGCATCTTTCAGCTCGTTGTTTTGGTTTTACGGCCCATAACTTCACCGTTTTGGTTCACTCTCAGCAATCAACCCGTTTCCAGCCACAGCAGGCATTTAAAGAAAAGCTCATGATATACCCACTTTACACTACCGGCTCAGCACCAAACAGACAGACACACTTAGCGACTGGTGAACACAGTGGAGCATCTAGAAGTTAAAGAGTTAGATATATCCCTCAGGAGTTGGTGGATGGCAAAAGTTAAAAGGGAAGGTCAATACACTACAATACATGATAATGTTGCTCTGTGTCTGCTGGTTTGCCAACACATTCTCATTTATTAGTCAGTTTTATTTCAGTTTCATGCAAAACATTTACATGGTTACAAGGCACCGCTATCAAATATCAAAAATGAAGTATGTTAAGCTTGTCACACTGCCCTCATGTGGCAAAAACAAACATTGTAATGCAATTTAAAGTAAAAGCACTCATTAGGCAACAGAAGACCTCAGTCAGTGTTAGTTGGATTATGTTTATTGGCAATTTAACATGTATGCAGCATGTTCATGTTGTAGCAGGTCTAGGTGGTGCTAATTATTTTGTCATTGTAGGTTTTACAAATTGAAATCAGCAAAATACATAGTGACTACATCTGCCAAATAAATGTAGTGGTGTTGTCTCCCAACCTTGCACAGTGAGCCCCACACTGCTCTTATTGCATGTTCCTCTTCCTTTCAGATCTGCTCGGTCAGCTCTACACGTCAGTCTGACAGGGAGAGAAAGATGGCTGCTCTCTGCCTCATTCCCACAGCACAAGCACAAAAGGTTTACACATTCATAAACATTATGCTATGTGCGTATATGTTGTGCGTCATGGAAGGAGCCCTCCCTCGTGGGTTATGTATATGAATGAATGGCTTCCACACAGGGCATGGCTCCTCCCCAGGAAATCCACCACTGTACTTTCCAAAAATAGAGTATGACTTGCTTACAGTGGAACTAACGCATCAGAGACGGGTTTCCAGCAGGGCTAAATGTGATGAGACCGGGGTGTACCTCCTGCTGGAAGGACTGCTTGTAGCTGAAGCTGCTCTCAAAGACGTGTGCGCATGCAATTCAGCAAACTGGCACATTCAATTCCCTAGGCTACAATGTACATACAGAAAATCCACATGCACGTATACGCACACACACGCGCGCACACGCACACACACACACACACACACACACACGCAGCTAGACACGCATAGCCAGAGCAGTAGAGAGAGATGTAGGCGGTGTGACGTGACGCAAGCATTATGAGTCACTCTAACACAAAGCCCGAGTTAGAACACACACACCATTGTCACGGTATTACCTCTCCAACAGGTTGACTTTATTGCTGCTCTGCCTCCACTCACGGATATGAAAAACTGACTCGATGTGAAGACACGGACGACTTTAAATCACCAAACCAGAACCTTATTCAGTACAAACCGCTCATGAAATGTTCTTTCCAGTTTGTATTACAGACAGGGGTCCAACAACAATTACGTCGCACTTTTCATTCTTGTAAACTCAGATATGATAGTTATGTAAAAGGGTGCAACTATAGCAACACGAACCAAGCACTTTCATCCAAGCACCCCACCATATGACCAGTGTTTCCACAGTGAAGGAGAAACAATTGTACCTCTTTTTTCATGTTATTTAAGTATATAGGATCATTATTATTATAATAATAATGTTGCTCATGAAGCCAGCATCCCCTACCACCTCTGAGGAGTCACAATTTGACTATTCTAGCTGAATTATTAAGTCGTATGAAGTTTATTTGTGTAGCCCAGTATTCCATATAAATGTCTCAAAGGGGCTTCACACGTCCACATTGGCAGCACTTCCAAAATCAGGCACAAAATGTTCAAGACGACCAACTCCTGCTGCAGTACTGATCTCTTCCACAGGAGAGCGCAGAACCTCCTCATCGCCTGTGCTCGGAGAGCTGCCAAGTACAGAGCAAGCTGTTGCCCAATCCTGTTTGTCACATCAGTGGAAATTTTTTTTGAATAAGAGGCAAGACTGCAACCTTGCCTGCTAATACATGGTGAAATACATATTCCTCCATGTTGCTCCACAGAGAAAACACAAAGCTGTTAAGTTATACAATTGTGAGCGCTGGCAAAAGGTGTAGTTATGGGCTTTTCTATTTGTGCAATTAATACGGAATAAGGCATTAACACTGGGTAATGTTTTAGAATAATTGCCCCCTCAAACTGCTTGCAGACTTTGTTCGCAAGCGCAACAGGAGCCTTGGATTACTCACACACACATAAACATCTGTCTCGCATCTGGGTAACAGACAAGGTCAAGGAGTCCATACAGGGATTGTCTCCTCCACCATTTCTCAGTATTGTTCAGATCACCACATCCACATAAGTCCTGGAAATTTCCTCTGGAATGAAAACCATGTCCTCCTCTCACAGACCTATTTGTGTTTCTTTTCTTTGCCTCAAACACTTTTATACTGGTCACGTGGTATATTCAACAGGGTTGAGAGTCAACCACACATACATTGACGTGCACACTTAAGAAAACAAACAAAAATAACTAATTTAATCTTTCCAAAAAGACTGTTTCTCGTCCTTTCAGGGTGATTCTGGGGTCCGGCATTATTCAGAGAAAGTGCTGATGATGGCCAATACTCAAACCAGCAGAGAGATTATGAAACATGAGGAGGAGGAGGAGGAGAAATCTCCAATCTCATTATCCCCACCGAAACTAATCCACCAGGAACACCTCCAAGTAATCCATACCCATGTACCTCACACATCATTGTGACACAGATATTTATATATATATACACACACACACACACACACACACACACACACATGCATGGTAGTATAAGGGGAACCATAGTAATAAACTAAAAACAAAGATGGCGGATATGCAGGATATAATGTTGGTGGGCTTGGAGGGAATCAAAAAGACCATCCTGCATGGAGGCACCGGAGACATCCCAAAATTCATCACTGGGGCAAAGGTATTTATTTACATTTTCTGATAAATCACGTCTTTACGTTCACTTTTTGGACTGCTGACCAACTTAGCTCTCATCAGTTATAGACTAAGTGGTGCGAGTACACAGCTATTTCCCTATACAGCCCATTGACTGTTTTGTTAATGAATCTAACGAACCAATTTTCATAAAAATAATGAATTTATTGTCTGTACTTTGGACAAATGGCTGAAAGATTAAAAATGTGTCTCACAAAGCTAGTTTCAAATGTTCTAAATCTAATTAGAGGTACTAATAGAAGTCAACATGCGCACTAATTATGCACATCATCCTGAGCATGCAGAGACAAAAGAGCAAACCATTTTTCTAGACTGTGGTTGCAAAGCATAAATGTCATCATGTAGACTTGATTTTAAGCATAACAGATATGCCATTTGCTTCTGATATATCATCTAATAATGGGTTAATTCAGATGCGTTTGGTGTGTCTCCTCTTAAAAACCAGATTTAAAAGAAGCAATAAGGAACAGTAAAGTGATTGGCCTGCTGAGACTATGATCTGTGAAGGTTTGATGATGCATGGCTTCATTACTTTGAGATTTATGGATTTTATTTTCCTTGTGCCAATTTGAAGCTATTGCAGCTGTTATGAGGGGAGGCACATTCATGTGGTTGCAATTCCCCATGGCAGACAATGACCCTTTAATGAGAAGAACATTTTCAAAACCTAAATGAATACACCTCGAACCATCTGCATCAGATTTGACAAAATTTAGTCTATAACTTAAAGAACGCCGTTATGTACGTGTGCAATTATTTTTCAAGAGGTGTCATACGAGTGTGGAGTCTTGCCATTTCCCTGTTCTTACACTCATGGCGAACTGTGTGTGGTTAAATGGCGTTACAGTTTCCTTCTTTGCTTTCTGACAGTGGAAGTCTGATGAAGTTATGAAATATGGGAGTAGCTCATTGTGTTATCTGAAAGTGTCTTAATCCACTTTAAAGCTGACATAAGTCTTTGCAATTCATTAATTTGTTATTTTCCCAACTTTCTGTCCATGCTGTATAGTTTTAACGAACAAGCATCGTGTGGTTCTCCTTCTCTATGGTTCTTTTTACTCCAGGTGACGTTCCACTTCCGCACCCAGTTGTGCGATGATGAACGCACAGTGATAGACGACAGCAAAGTGGTGGGGACGCCCATGGAGATAGTGATCGGCAACATGTTTAAACTGGACATCTGGGAGACCCTGTTGTCTTCCATGAGGATTGGGGAGGTGGCTGAATTCTGGTGTGACATCATTGTGAGTGCTAAAAGATGTTAAATGTCAGCCGTTTGAGTGTTGCCTTGTTTTCCTTCTTGCTTGTTATTAAGCACCGTGCTTCGTCTGTTAGTTCAAATCCCTTCTGAGAAGTTAGACTGTTCACTTTATTCAGAACGACGTCACACTGCAGATGTGGAAGTTACAGACCCTGCTTTTAACAACAAGTGCTGTAAGTGCCCCACTTACACATTTAAAGCTTAAACATAAAGCACAAGCATACGGCAGAGTATATTGCACCCCCCTTTGATTACTCTGCTCTTTGTGAAATGGAGAATGAACACAGATGTATCAAGACAATAAATGTAAACAGAGTGGGGTGCTCTTTTCAAAACTGGATCAACAGGCTATCTGAAGCAAAAACAATTATTGCACAACAATAATAAACGTGGTTTGCATTCATGTATTAAGAAAACTGCCTCAGGAACATTTGATTAACTTTCAGTTTAGTTTTACTTAATAATGAATGTGGTTTCTGTGTGACCTCCTGTAATGAAATGTTGTCCCATAGACTATATCGATATGTAATATATAAATATATAAGCTCCTATACCAGAGACAGGTGTTATGAAGCAAACATACCTTCTCTGAATGTGTCGCTGAAGGTGTATCTTTTACAATCTATCATTTGTTCTTTCTGGTGTGTGTGTGTGTGTGTGTGTGTCAGAGACAGATGGGTTGAGGCATACTGTCACGAATCTGCATCAGCCTCACTTTTCCCTAATCGGCTCCGATTCCGACTGAATCAGCACTAGTGACTCGCCTCCTGCGATTAGATTTGATGGGGCTTAGAGCATGTATTCACTCCTCTCTGAACAACATGGCTGCGTCACACACACACACACTGGATATGTTGTGCAATGTCGCTTCCATCCAGTGGAGGGCAAACTTGCCACGTTCGACTGAGGAGATGGACTGCAGATAATGTGAAACAAGGCATTTTAATTGGAATTACAATCAATCTTTAATCAGTTTGATGCAAGATGCATCAGAATTCCTGTTTAGGGTAACTGCAGCAGGAGAAGTATGATCTATATCACCATGTTACTCTTGACCAAGGAAGTGCATAAGACAGAATTTGAAAGCGGCTTAAATATCGAAAGTCACCTTTAGTTTAATTCCATTTTATATTTTGACTGTTGCGATCCTCTCTCCACTCCAGCACACCGGCGTTTATCCACTTGTGGCCAAGAGTATGAGGCGCATTGCAGAGGGCAAAGACCCAGTGGACTGGCACATCCATACGTGTGGTATGGCCAACATGTTCGCCTACCACAGCCTTGGCTACGACGACCTGGATGAGCTGATGAAGGAACCAAAACCCCTCTACTTTGTCCTGGAGCTGATCCGGGTGAGAAAGAACAGTCGGCCACACGAATTTGTGTGGATCTGTGTCAAAGGGAAACTTTACAAGAGAGGAGGAGTTTGTTTTTTTTAAACAATGCATGTGTGTTTGGTAGGTGCAGCAGCCTAGTGAGTATAACAGGGAGACGTGGGCTATGAGCGATGAGGAGAGGCTGAAGGTGGTCCCCGTGCTGCACGGCCAGGGCAACAAGCTCTACAAACAAGGACACTACCAGGAGGCCACACAAAAGTACAAGGAGGCCATCATCTGCATCAAGAACGTTCAGACGAAGGTACATCAAATCATCGGTCGGAAATCTTATTTCCTTCTATAAAACAGTACGCATAGACATGGATCTAAACCACTTTCCTCCTCAGGAAAAAGCATGGGAGGTCCCGTGGCTGAAGCTGGAGAAGATGGGCAACACTTTAACGCTCAACTACTGCCAGTGTCTACTCCGCATGGAAGAATACTACGAGGCCATCGAGCACACCAGCGACATCATCAACCAGCACCCAGGTTTGGCACCGACAAGAGACCGGTGTGACGTGTGCGACTCAGGCGGCAACCTCCAGTTCTGAAAAGTGAAGTCAATGCGGGAGTGTCTTAAACCAGCATCTAAAAAGTCAGATTAGATGGAAGGCTATGAGAAAATCACCCTACTTATCACTCGATTTATTACCCGAGTAAACACTGTAAATAAGAGTTTATGGTTTCAATTACTAGTTTTCAAGTCCTCTTCAATACAGCATGGTGTTCATTTAGTAAATTATGGTCCCATTTAGAGTAACACACCATAAAGCAGGGTGTGATTTAGGGCGGGGCTACCTTGTGATTGACAGGTTGCCACCACTGCGTTTTCCAGCCTGGAAGTTGTCGATGTTTTTGTCTTTCAACTTTAACCCTTTCACATTGTGTTTTCAGCTAATGAAAGTTAATTCTAAGATCTTGGTGACTAAACATGTGATTAGGGATGAGCTATACTGCCTGTGGCCCTATTATGTCACCTTAAAACAACAGGTGACATCATGGTGACTACTTCCACTTACTATATACAGATGGTGTGCTTCTACCATGGTGGAGTGAGGGGTTCTTAAAGTAAAAAAATGTTTTTACCAAGTACAATATCCCAGTCCAGCCGGTTGATATATTGTAAAAGGGGAGATCCTTGACTTTGAGAAATACCCTATATGTGTACGTGTTCATAAGTCAAAGACATAGAATTATTACATTTTTGCAGATATTTCACATCAGTTAAGAACATCGAGCATACACGCTTGTCTCGTTGACCAGAGCTGCTGACAAACATGCTTTTATTTGGCCTCCAGGTGATTTTAAGGCCTACTACCTGCGAGGGAAGGCCCACGCGGAAGTGTGGAATGAGGCCGAGGCTCGGCAGGACTTCAGCAGGGTGCTGGACCTGGACCCCGGCATGAAGAAGGCCGTCAAGAGGGAGCTGGCTGTGCTGAACATGCGCATGGAGGAGAAGAACCAGGAGGACAGGAACAAGTACAAAGGCATGTTTTGACAGGAGACTGAAGCAGAGGTTTGAGGGCCAGAGAAGCCACAAGCTAAAGAAGAACAACGTTGGTAAATCACAAATCTCCACACTTTGCCTTTAACCCACTCCCTGCATCGACTTTCACAAGATGATCCAGGTTTATTAAATCAGGATGTTATAAGCCCCTCCCTTTCCATTTCCTCCGAACAATGAGTGAGACAACCTATTCAATTAAGGACTTTTCACTCTTATAATCTCAATTAAGGTGACGTTTACGAGGCGTTTGCTTTGGTTCATTGACAAGAAATCTAGGGGATGTGTAAATATTCACAGTATTAAGGATAAAAAGAATATGCGATAACAGCCCAAAAAGATATGCGTCAATGTAACACATATGGACAGATGTGGAGATGTAAATGTAATGCGTGTGCAGGTTTGTTTATTAGTACGCTTATGTGCTTTCTTGGAGAGAGATAGATGAGAAGATCAATAGCCTACCACTCACATGGTTGTAAACATGTAGCTGGAGATAGCAACCGCTTACTTAGCATAAATACTTTACAAAAAACTAGGAAACTGCCAACACCATTATAACATGCAAGCTTCAGGTAGCTAGATTTTGCATTAATTTGGACAGAGCCATGCTAGCCGTTTCCCCTCATTTCCAGTTTTATGCTAAGCTACTTAGTTACATACTGTATTTACCACTCAGATACCAGGAGTATAAGTCTTCCTATACAACTCTCGGAAAGGAAGCGCATCAGCATACTTCCCAAAATGTTGAACTATTCCTTTGCTATTGTTCTGATTTGTAATATTGTTTTTGCTATATTTTCTCATCATGTATAGAAAAGAAATCATCCATTTGACCCTGATTGATTGACACTAGTTAACTGTTGGATATATCTTTCTAAATATGTCCCCACACCAAATGTTATGCGACTCCACAGCAACACCATTATTGTAGTTTCTTCAAGCCAAATGTCACAAAAACACTACCGGAGAGTTTAGGTGGCTATGTTATTTCTAAATTGTTATCTATAGTCAGCAGTCGTATAAAACAATAAAGCACAGTTACTACTCCGAGTCTTGTAAGCACATTGGCCTTCCACAAGGTGGAGCTCTGACCACATTGTTCCTGTTTCAACCTGAAGCCTATTGGAGAAATTATTCCGAGCACAGCCTTGTCATTTTTTTACGAGGAGTCTAGGGGCTCGTAAAAATAAATGATCTGGCTTAAATGCATGGCTTGTCTCCTCCCCATCTTTTCCTTTGTGCATCTTAAAAAGAGAGAGCGGAAGGAAACAGAGGGCGTTTCATGCAAAAGGCTGAGTTATTACTATCACATCTGGGGAAATGCACTAAAAGACACATTCCAATGCACTCGTGTTTGTGAATTAAGATGAAATTTTAGATCAATAGCATGACATCACACTGAGAGCTCAGTTTCACTGAGGGAATCCCACTCATCACCATCTGCACTGTCACCATCCCCATTCATCACTACCACAGGTCACAGCGCAGTGTTAGCAGTCAGTCAGGGAAATGAGGCCGACGCTAATGCACCAGTCCAACGAAGAGGAAAATCAATAAGAGCAGATCAAAGAAAAACGGATTAAACATTCAAGCTAAAGCATCCAGCCCTTTACAACCGCCATTACTAATGCAGTTCCTGTCAAGTCTTGCCTGATGTGAGGCAACTAAACAAAGAGACTAAAACTGCGGTTTGATACAGCACTCATTAGAGACCATATGCACTTTATCTCTTCTCAGATCCAGTATTACATTTTCTTAATCTTCACACTTGATATCAGTGTTAATTAGAAAAAATGGAGTTGGAAAGAATAGATTTATGATGCAGGGCTGTGCCATTGGAAACCCTGCCCTGGACTAAAACACGGAGCTACAGTAAATTCTGCACAGCAGCACAATCTGCTGCTGGCTTTCCTCCATAAACCACTGGTGCTGATGTTGAGAAGAGGGGAAGAAAGGGAGGAGGAGGGGGAGGCTGAGGCTGTTCCTCAGCAGACTGCCCTGCTCCAACATAATATGCGTCAAGACGGCAGGAAAAGGACAATCTCATACAGGAAGTACGGTGATTGTGTAATCAAAATAAAATACATTTTGCAAAGGAAGGTAAAGAAAATGTTTTATATTTTGTGTTTCTTGTATTGGTCTTCACACTTTCCATTACATTATAAATTAATACAAAAGTATGTGGCAATACAATTACTTTATGTACTGCATACTTTTTCTCTCTTTCATTCGTATACATTGCATTCATTTGACAAATAGCCTACTTGCATGAAGGCAGATGGAGCTGGATTCTGAACCAGCACCCCTACGAGCAGAAGCCACACAGGCTTTAAAACTACAGTTTATATATACATACACACACACACACACATATATATCAATAATACTTTTTAACACAGAATATTTTGTCAATGTACATAACTTGCCTTGAAAAAAGTGTTTCCCCCAAAAAAGACCGTGTAATTCTGTATAAAAGACATCCTTGTTGTAGAGGTGGGAGTGTTGAAGGAAAAAATGATGTGATGATGAGGTTATATGATAGGCTAATTAAATTAATTAACTTATATAGGATAAAGGATGAAGTGCATGAACACCAAAGTTACAGCACGTACATTTCACTTCACAGAGGCCCCATGTTCAAACCAACAACACTGCAGACAACTGATTATCAATCACACAACCGGAAATGAGGACAAAACTCAGAATCAAACAGAAGTAACCGACAATAAATAAATAAATAAATAAATAAATAAATAAGAATCTATTGACACCACGGCAGATGCAACAAACATTTAGCCACAAAAAGAAAAAGACACTTCTTAAAGAATCAACAGCAGAATAAAACACACTAAAGCAACGCAGAGATGTATAAACATGATCTTGCAGCAGCAAACAAACACATATTAGGGGGGGCAGATGCACAGTTTTTGCAAGTGTAGAGCACACACACACGAACAAAGTTTCTCATTAAACTCACCTGTCTGAACCTCGTGCAACGCAAAGTAGCCTCCTGTCCTCCTCAATCTGCTCCAGGTTCCACTCCTTTCCTCGTTCTTTCTCAAAGCAGGACATCACCAGTCTACTCAGCCTCTATGTCCCACGTGAACCCTCAAAGGTTTAAAACACGTTGAGCTGAACGAGACTCTGCAGTCACTCACAAACAGCACAGAGGTATACAAGTCCCTCAGGCAACGTTACAGTGCTGGAGGATTAGCATTTTAGCATGTTCATCAGAACTAGCACACACCTGTGTGTGTGTTAAATTTGTGCATGCTCGCCAGGTGGTGCGTCGATTAATTAAGGCAGATGCGACCTTTTTTTTTTTTTTTTTTTTACCCACACCGAAAATTACGTAATTCTTTATTACATTGCAGTTTGCATTGTTCACAAACTGCACAATATATAGGGTAGTATGTGGAGTCATTACTTTCACTATATTCGAAGAGGCTAGGGCTTTTATTTTGTATATCTCCACCGGAAGTGATCTGCTTTAAAGTGGGTGTCTTGACACTGGTCCCAAGTTGAGTACAGTCGCTGTGCTGCTGCGTCGTGGAGACAGTGGAGGAGAGAGGGAGAAAGTGTCTGATTTGAGGTAGACCTGATTTGACGGAGACGCGTCGCCTTCATCCTTCTGCGTAAAGAAAAGGAAAGGGAAGATAATTGTTTCGGCTACTTTTCAATGAACAGACAGACTTTTAAGGGAAAGTGGTGCAACTGGATCAAGGCGGGCGACAGGAGCTCCTCTTACTGAATTACTCCTTGGATTGTATCAGTGAGGAGGGGAGTTTTTTTCTGATCCGAGCCCCTTTCGGAAATGAGCCAGACGTTGGACGTGAAGGAAGGTGCCGGAAAGTGATCCAAGAGGAAGATGATATCTGCAGGAATCACGCTGCTTTCATCTCCTCTCTGATTTCATTCTTCTTCTTGTAGGGGGTGGCTGATCTGTTACATCCGAGCTTTTTAAAGCACCTTTTCAAATTGTCACATTTTCATCCACCCACCGCACCTTGGCCGGTTGATCCCATTGTTCAATCAAAATTGAAAGGTCTTTTGTAAAAGCTCACATTCAGCTGTGTTATGGGATGTTGGCTCCTGGTTTGTAATTAATTCAAAACATTTTTTTTATTTATTTATATATTTATTTTCAAATCTAATTTGATACAATTGAGACCTGAACATGGCCATCAACACGGACACCGACTTCCTGAAGTCCAACCTAAGTGAGGGTGGAGGACACACTCAGCCTGCGGACCCCCACGAGACGGAGAAACTCCTGGCGCTGACCACCGAGCCCGGAGGAAATGGGATGAAGATGTCCACCTCCTTCACCGTCAACATGGACAGCGACAAGGGCCAGGAGGCCGACCTGAACGGCCACAGCGTCGCCGTGAGATCGGGCTCCGCCGGGCAACTGGGCGCCGCCGCCCCTCTCTCCCCGTCCAAGGCCAGTCTGAGCCGCTCCTCCACCGGGAACGCCACCGTCCATGAGACCCCGAAGCCCAAGGATTACCTCATCCTTGCCATCCTGTCCTGCTTCTGCCCCGTCTGGCCCCTCAGCATTGTCGCACTGGTGTACTCCATCATGGTGAGCATCATTTTACTTAAGCCTGTTTCTGTAGATCAGAATGGATACATAAATGTTTTGTTAATATGATGGAGAGACCACAGGTTGCGAACAGCATCTCAGTTGAACCAAAAACAATCAAAAAATTGTCTGTATTTTTTAGGCTAAGTCTTTGATTTCAAACTTCATGAACTTGAAAATTGCCTCCAACCTCTGTTATAGTTTTAAAATATTTTTTCATTTAATATGCAGCTATTGTCTTTATAATTTTGATGTTTGAAGAAAGTGAGGGTGACATTTAGGAGAAAGTGGATATTTCTCTTCACTAAGAGCAATATTGTTTTTTATGAGGGGATGGTCATCAAACTTCTTGAGAGAGGAATAGTCATCCTTAATAGATAATTATCAGATTATTAAGAAATATTTAATTGGATTGATAAATTACTTTTTAATTAAAAAAAAAAAAAAACATTAAATATAAAAAAAATAATGACCCAGGTGACCCAGGATGACATCTTAAAATGACTTAATTAGTTTGGGCAACAATCCAAACTTCAATTACCTTAATATAAAACTGAAAGAAGCAGCAAATCTACACATTTAAGAAGCGAGAATTATATTTGACATTTATAAATCACAACCAATGATTCATCAATTGTCAAAATAGTCACTATTGATTTTCTGTTTTGGACTTTTTATTTTCTATCTAAAAAATTGAGGAGAAAAAAAAGATTTTGAAAGATGTTTACAAGCAATTCCACCAAAACCCCTCAGATGTGCAGCATAACAGAACAGCGCAATGACGTATTTGAACATCCTAAAAATTCCTCATATCGAATTGATTGTAAATTGTTGTGTTCAAGTGCAGTGCAGTTGGCTCTGCGGTCCCTGATAAACTCTGAATATCAGGGTTCCCTGGAATATACACACACACACACACCACACTTGCATGTAGAGCTCAGTGCATCCTCAGCTTTTAGTGTTCAGGCTTCAGCTACGGGTTGTTCTGGTTTAGAGACGCTTGATTAATCCTCTCACTGAAAGTTTCAGGATGCAGGAAATGCTGATACAAGATGCAGCTCAGACACTGACGCCTCGCTGGGCAGCCACAGATGCTTGATATGCTGCTGCTGTTTAGTGCTCTCCAATCAATACATTCTGGGGACACGATCCTCAGTTGCTCCTCAACAAACACTCTTTTCCAACCCAACGATGGACTATGTGGCCTCTTTGCATTCACATCACAGCACCTCTAACGGAGTCTACGAGATCTGTGTTGAGGGTGCTCTACGATAAAACTGAAAGCTGACACTTTTCTTGTTGTCCCCCTCTGCAGTGGTGAGAGGGCTGCAGTAAAAATGGTGGACATGTTATTGAAGGCTGTGAGAGCTCGTGGCTCGTTTCAACCGGCCAGAGTAACATTTAGAGAATGTCCCAGATATCGACGCGAGATAACTGCTGATTTTTAGGTGTGAAAATGCAAACATGGTGTGAAGGTCAAATGGAAAGTGGACAGGCAAAGATTTTTGTTGTAATTAAGAAAAACTACAGATACGATGCAGCATTGATGAAGTAGGCTGTATGACCCTCTCTTCACTTTGGCACACATACGCTATTAAGAAAAACTCATTACCCATGCGGTGATATTGCGGCAAAGCTAAAAACCCATAAATAAAAAGTGGCATTTCAGCCTGTTCGACATGGCTCCAAATGACTTGTGCAAGTTGATGCAATAAAACATCCTGCTAGAGGAAGCTCCTCTGGAAGCTGCAGGATGCTTGTGATAACCGGCGTGATTAAATTGTCCCAGACAATTAGCAGTGTACTTTAGCCAAGTCAGCTTGTCCGTCCTCCCATCTTGACACTCCTCCATCATAGTAGACTCGGGTGTTAAAAGTCGATCTTGTAAATTCACAAAGTCAATATATGAAATAAAAAAATTGTCAACGTTTGATGGGAAAAGAACTTCAAAAGGCCCAATATTTATTTTAAATAAGTAATTACAAACAACACGTGTTTTGTGGTTATGCACTACACCGTACTTTACTATATGTGTTGCTGCGTACACAGTACACATTCACATAATGTGACACAGCAGGAATTTCCTCAAGACTGGCAGGTCAGTAATCCTGAACCTTTCACTTTGTAATTGCCTTAATCTTCAGTAAAAAAGGTCTTCAGCTGACTGACACTGCTGGGATCAAATCCAGGCATCTGCTTGCTAATCTACTGAGGTATTGAAAGTGTACATCAGGCTCAACTCCCCAGCTGAATCACACGAAACCCATTTTGTCTTTTGTTGCTGATGAGATCCTACTATTGTGTGTGTGTGTGTGTGTGTGTGTGTGTATATAACTACAGATTCCTTCGATGGGATAAAAAGAGGCATCAAGTGTTATATCCCTGAAAGTAGGAATTACTCCAAAATGGGAAGCCAATAAAATATATTTTCTTTTGTATTAAAGATATGAAATGAGCAACGCATGGTCCTCCTTCAGATCCATAACAACCAAAACAAAAACAGACAAAGTGTCTTGTTATGCGCGACCTCTGCTTGTGCCACCAAATGTAACATGAGAACCGCTGCAGTTTTGGAAAGTACATTTCCTCATCGAGTACAAATTTGAGGTACTGTACTTGTACTTTACTTGAGTATTTGAATCCCATGCAACTTTCTGCTTCTACTCCATTGCATTTCAGAAGGAACTATAGTAGTTTTGACTTCATTACAGTTATTTCACGGCTTTAGTTACTTTGGATTGTGGGTAATTGTGTGGGAATTTTTCACAATT